ATTTAATTGACCTAAGTAATAATTATTTAATACAAATAAATATTTATTTGATAATAGTGAAGTAACTGATTATTTCACGGAGTAAAATGGAAAAATAAATAAAGTAACTTTTACTACTTTAAAAGTAAAACCTAAACTGTTCGGAGTTTCTGCACATTTCTGGTAATTTTTACTCTGAAAATAGTATAGAATTTACACCTGAAATAGTAAAAACTATTCCCGAAATAGTACATTTTAATATTTCTGCACGGAGAAAAAAGATTTCTTTTATAAAGATAACTTTTACTACTTTCAGAGTAAAACTGGACCAACTCGAAGTTTCTGCGCATCTCTGGCAATTTTTACTCCAAAAATAGTAAAATTTACTCTAGAAATAGTAAAACTTACTACGGAAACAGTAAAATTTACTACAGAAATAATAAATTTTACTATTTTTGGAGTAAAAATTGCCAGAGATGCGCAGAAACTTCGAGTTGGTCCAGTTTTACTCTGAAAGTAGTAAAAATTACTTTTTCTTTTTCTCCGTGTGGAGTAAAAATTACTAAAAATGCGCAGAAACTCCGGACAGTTCAGGTTTTACTTTTAAATTACACGGAAAAAATTTGGAAAAACGACTAAAGTAACTTTTACTATTTGTACTTTAAATGTAAAACCGGAACTGTCCTCAGTTTCTGCGCATTTCTGTAAATTTTTACTCCAGAAGTAGTAAAATGTACTATTTCCGGAATAATTTTTACTACTTCAGGAGTAAATTTTACTATTTTCGGAGTAAATTTTACTATTTTTGGAGAAAAAATTGTCAGAAATGCGCAGAAACTGCGGACAATTTAGGTTTTTTACTTTTAAAGTAGTAAAAATTACTTTATTCGTTTTCTTATTTTTCTCCGTGTTGAATCAAATAAATATTTTTTTCAGTGAATTATATCTAATAATTAGAAAATGTTCTAATATGATAATAACAAAAATATATCGAAATTTTATTATAATCAATTTAAAAATTATGAAAATTTGATTTATTTATTCATGTTTACAAAAAAATACCCTTTCGTAAACCTAAAAACTAAAAACAATAATATAATTACAATAAATTATTAAATGCGGTTCTCTTAATGAAAATATATCAGTTTGATAATAGAAGAATTTTCAATTTTTTTAAAAACGGAGTAAACTGATTTGGGTTAATCAAATTGACACTGTTGAGACAAGAGAAGAATTTTCAATTTTTTTTTAAAAAATAAAAACTGATTTCTGTTATCAAAGAATTCCAGTGTTTTTTTTTTTTCATTTTAAGTCGAAGTAGATGCAGCCAAAAGTTGTCAGACATTCCATGTTAGTAGCGTAGGGATTAGGTTATTCTCGTGCGTCATTTGCGCCACGTGTTTTTCTCTACCTATCTTGGTGGTTCTTAATTCGTGTCTAAAATGATTTTTCTTATGTCAGTTTGTATATATATAAGTGATTAATAATAAAAGTGAACAGATGTCTCATATATGACGTGTTAGTGTGTGTGTGCGATGAACTTTCGTCAAAGTGGAACGTGCGCGCGACTGCTCAGATTTCCCGCTCGCCGGTGTGTGCGCGGATTCGTCACGTCGAAACCGGATTCAGAGCGCGTGTAAAACTTGGGCTTCTCTCTCTCGACTCTCCTCGTATGTAATGCACAAACACAAGTTTGTATATATACAGTACGTACCTACATTTACTTCTTCCGTGCCATCCAACTTTTCGTGCTTCCTCCCCATTCCCTCCTCGAGTTTGTTCGGCTCTGAGGTTCGTCGACACTGTGTGGAAAAAAGAGGGGCCGAGAGATTGAAGCCGAAGGTCGCACAAGACGACGCCAAAGAATCTGGATGTGATTATATGCGCTTGCAAGAATAATTAGGACTCATATACTGACAATGTTCAGTTCACCGTCCTAATATAACAAAAAAAAAGACGTACGAGATATATATGTAGTCATTTTTAATTAATGCACTCGAGAATTCTTTTGTTTGATTACTGAAGAAGATTTATTGACATTTCAATTTCATTTTTCTTTTTTTTTTAGATCAAGGATTTTTCTTTAAAATATTTTTTTACTTAATTGGCATTTCGAAGTTATTTTTTCTTTCAGTTTACAGAAAAATCCGTAAACTTAAATTAAGAATATATTTTTGGCGTCTATTTAAGAATAATGTCGCGAAGAAAGGGACCTTAGAACAATTATAGGTTATATTTTGAAGTGAAAATAAACAAAGAGGATTAATTCTTAATGCAAATAACCAATGATGTTTAAAGTCTTTATTATATTATAAAATAATAAATAAAAACTGATTTCGATGTTACAGAAATGAAAAGAATCTTTTAATCGAGATAAAACTGTCGTAAACATAACCTATAATTCGTTTGCTTCTAAGGTCCCTTTATTCCCGATGCGTCTCATATTTTATACTTAAATTCCGTATATATATATTCTTATTTTAAAAATGATATATACTGAAATTAAGTATATATTCTTACTTTAAGAATAATATATAATGAATTTAAGTATAAAATAATTTTCTAAAACAACGAAAGTTTTCGTTATTCTATAGAGAAACATATCGCTGTTCCAGATAAAGATTTTTTTACTTGGAACTTATTTTAGAATATTTTATACTCAAAGTCAGTATGTAATATTCTTAAAATTAAAATATATTCTTGGTACTTAGTAATATATTTTTAGTATATTTAGTATATGTTTTTAGCATTTAGAAAATATATACTAAGTACTAAGAATATATTCTAATTTTAAGAATATTACATACTGAAATTAAGTATAAAATATTCTAAAATAAGTCACTTTTTGCATTTGAATTAGTTAAATTTTTTAATTTATTTTTAGTTCTGTGAAAAATCATTTTTTAGTTTGATATTATTTTACAGGGCTAAGTTCTCTTAAATGAATTAGTATAACCGTTTTGACTCATTTTTAGTGAAATATGACTCATTGATAATACAAAACTGCTAATTAATTTATTAAAGTTTACTAATTAAAATAGTAGCCTTAGTAAATGAATTAGTAGTTTTTGACTAAGAATTTGTAACCGCATTGAATAATTTTTTGTCAAAAATGACTAATTTATAGTTGAAAATACTAATTGAATGTATATATAAAACTACTAATTCATTTATTAAAATTTACTAAATAAAATAGTAGCCTTACTAATCGAATTAGTAGTTTTCTACTAATATTTAGTCATTTTCACTGAGAATTAGTCAAAACCGTTACTAATTCATTTAATGAATCGGCGCAGTTCAGTTATAGTTAAAAGTAACTAATTCGCGGTACTGGTACCAGTACTAATTTAAATTAGTAAAAATGTAAACTAATATGAATTAGTGATACACTTTTTCCTTTTGATTTAGTTAAATTTTACTAATTTGATAATAAAAAAAATATTTTTTTTTATTATTAATTAGTTAAATTTTGTTAATTCAAAAACAAAATGTTAGTCACTAATTCAAATTAGTTACAATTTTTACTAATTAGTTTATTTATTCATTATCAGTTTATTAATTTTACGAATTAGCAAAATCTTTTTTTACTATTTATTAAATTTTACTACATACTGCTCTTAATTTGAATTAGTCACTTTTTGACTAATTCAACTGCGCCGATTCGTTCATTAAATGAATTATTAACCGTTTTGACTAATTCTTAGTCAAAAATAACTAGTTGTTAGTAGAAAACTACTAATTCATTTAGCATGGCTACTATTTAAATTATTAAACTTTACTAAATGAATTAGTAGTTTTCTACTAACAGTTATTTTTGACTTAGAATTAGTTAAAACGGTTACTAATTTATTTAATGAACGAATCGGCGCAGTTGAATTAGTCAAAAGTGACTAATTCAAATTTAGAAAGTATTTTAAAATCAAAATGTAAGTTACTAATTTAAATTAGTTAAAATTTTTACTAATTCAAATTTAGAGAGTAATTTGGGGGAAAAAAAGTTAAAAAACATGAATTTGGCTTAATTTTTGTCATGAAGCTTGAATTTTAAAAAATGTCATTTTGCAAAAAAAAGCTTATATTTAGACTTTTTTTTCGGAAATTTAGATTTAGATACAAGAAAACCATTTGATACTTATGTTTTGACATAATATGGACATGTATTTATGACAATTTTTGAATAGGGGTATATAGGCTTGAGATTAAGCCACAGGAGAATTGTGAATTTTCACTGAGAAAGCATTGGATTGCAAACTTGGTCTTTGAACTTTTAGCTCTGAAAGTTAAAGGCCGCATTGTCACACAAAGAAGCGAGAACCGGAATGCCGGCGAGTTTCATAACATTAGAATCATTCGTGCGTTTCCCAAGAGTAGCATCCTGAACTCGAGTTTTCAAATTCCTTTCACCCTCAGTTTTCGATCTTCTTATATCCACACAGTCTTCCCTTCTCTCTCTCTCTTTCCACTTTTTTCTATTCGTTAGAAAAAAAAAAATACATTCGAGGGATTGATTTTGCATTCGGAGTACATACACGATGTTAAGGAGGGTCAGGCAGGGCCCCGTTGTAAAGACGATATTTTCAGGCCGGGCAGTAGGCATATACATAAATGTTTGGTTGGTAGTTGTTGAGACGTGGTGCAGGTCACTCACCGAATATGAGTGAACCATGGTGCGCCCTCCTCAACTGCGTGTTGGGATTGGTCGGCCGACTTTCCTTTGGCGCCGAACCTCCATTGGCCCCCTTCTGAAAAACGTGCGTGAGTATGTTACACACATACATGTACATATATACACACATGCACAATGTACCTACCTCGACGCGCCAAAGAGGCGGCGAACGACGGTAAAAATTTTGTCTCTCATTCCAACCAGAAATTATTTTTTTGCTCGAGCGCACTTTATCTCAAGAGAATTTTGTGAAAAAAAAATGAAAATGCTTTTTTTTCCCACTTTATTCAAAAATTATGATAGAATTGACATTAAATATGACACAATTAATGAGATTAATATTTTTTTTTTTCAGATGGTGACCTTTAAAGAATATTATGACCACAAAGAATGTTATCGTGAGTCATTTAATTGCATTTACGTAAGTTTTATTACGAAATTTAATATTCATTGCAAATGTGCGGTTATTGTATTGATGTAATTTATAAAAATTATTTTTTTCAATCTGTTCGAATTTGACGGAACGCTTGAATAAAAATTAATTTTGTTTGGAATTTTTATTTGACAGCATTTTTTATTATCTCGAATTTATTTTTAGCCAAGTTCTTCGAATTCGAACAGAAAATTATAATTTAAAAGAATATTTATTTATTACAGAATTGTTATATACTTAAGCGAACTTACATTTTACAGAATTTTTATAAAACGCCGAATTTTCATTTGTCCGAAATTATAGATGGCCAACGAATAATGGACAGAAAAATTTCGGCGCGAATTTTAAAATTAATTAATCATAATTTCGTAAATAATTTCCGATTGGTTAATTTTAAAACTTTTAAAATTTTAGTTATTAAAACTTGTTTTTTATTGGCACAAAATTTAGTTCTATCAAATATATATATATAGATAGACGTTAGGAAAAATAAATTGGAATGAAGTTCAAGTTTCTCTTAACCATGGGAATTCGAGAAGGCGAAAAAAGAATAAAAAAAAACAGTTTCGATGTGACCGTGCATAATACGCTCGCTGCATTCGACTATATTTAACGATAAAAGTATACCGCGTCAATGACCTTAGTAGTTCATACATACTAAAAGTGCGAGCCACGTGCGCAACGATACGTATACCTATTTCGCACATGTTAGTTCGATGCGAACAAAAGTTTAGATTGATTAAATGATATTGTCTAGTTGTTTGAAAAAAAGTTACTCATTCATTTAAAAATCAATTGCACTTCAACTAATTATAAATATATACATGTGATAATATGTTCGTTTTTTTTAACAATGATATATAAATTTTTTTTTTCAATTTCTCCGCAGATTTATATATTTTTATGATCAGTGTAAAATTAATTTATATTACGATACACCCATCATATCATATTTCGTAATTTATGTTGAAAGGGATACTAATTACGAATTTGACATCAGATTTTCAAAATTCAAAATGTCGTATCCAATATGGCGGAAAATTTTCTGAATATTAATTGGATATAAGATTAAAATTTGATACTCTTGGGTTTTCGGGGTCACTGATTAGAAATATAATATAAAATTCGTAATCAGCGACTCTATCAATCTTCGTGGGACAAATTTTAAGCAAATTTGATTAAAAATCCGTCATTTTGAATTTTGAAAATTTAAAGTCAGATTTGTAATCGATAATAGTCAAAATTGTAAGCAAATTATTTAAAAAATGATCAATTAAAATTAAAAGAAAAAAATGGAAATTAAAATTATAATTAGTTTGATGAGAATTACGGTTTTTCTGCATAATATTTATAACAAAAATTGTTAGAGTTTGTTATACATTGTACGCTTCGTATATGCATAAAAAGTTGTGCAATTGATTTTTTACATAATGCTTATAACGTTGGCCGAAATAGATCTTTATTAGATTTTGAATAAAATTGAAATCCAACAAAATAAAATCGAATCTATCTAAAAAAATTGATTGAATTTGAAAGTAATTTAAACTGAAAGTTTTGTACGTAAAACCTTTTAATTTTAAAAGTATATATGCGGTAAATTTCAGTTTTACGGTATCAAACACAACTTTTTATTTAAAATAATTCTAATTTAACCGAATTTTAATTTAACAGAATTTTCATTTAATAGAATTTTAAGTGCTTCGAATTTTTAAAAACCAAAATTTTTAATTCACCGAGACTTAATTTTTCCAAATTTTTATTTGTATACACAGAAAAAAAGAACTCATTTTTGCTGCATATCATGAGATCTATATGCATCAAAATGAGTTAACAGACAACTTCACGTTTCTCAAAATGAACCTGAATATAGAAAAACTGTAAAAATATATAGGTTATGTTCTACTTTGTGATATTTTCATATTGGTAGTACTGCAGAATCATGTAAATTGTATAAAATATTGAAGAGAGAAAAATAAATGAAGAAGAAATTCGTTGAATGTGATTAGTGCGCGTCGTACTGGATTTAGTGGCTATATAAAAGCAAGTGTTTCATACTAGATAATGAATAATTGGGGAAAATATATGAGGGAACAGGGAAACAAAGAAACAAAAATTTTTGTAAGTAATTATTTAATACTTAGCAAAATTTTTTTAATCAAATTATTTGTTTAATATGAACAAATTAAAAAAAACGAATTGGAATTAGTATAAAAAAAGTAAAAATATGAAATTCCTGTTATAATTTTGAAAAAAAGGGGAATATTTTGTATAAGCATTATTTCTCGGAAAATAAGTGTAACCCCCTAAGAAAAAAGCAACCCTTTACACACTCCACTTTGTATAGCCTTATTGTAAATATATCTTGAAGGAAGAATGGTTGTTCTGGGCGTACATGGGATATATTTTTATTTTCTCAGCAGGTGTCACGTGATGAGGTACATATCGATCGGCGAATTCCTTTTGCGAACGCAGCATTAACGTCATCATAATTGTTGATTATGGGAAGTTATAACGGGAAACTAACACCTACTGCCCGAAGCATTTTATGAACTAAATTATAACGCATATTATTATTATTTTTCCTCTTTGTATTAAATTTCTTTTCTTTTTTTTGTTTTTCTATTCTTTTCGTTTGTTGCGCAATATTGTATGTAGGGTCAATAAAGACTAGGCGTGCTCTTTTTCTAATAAACCGGAGGGATTATGCTCGTTGGGATAATCGCATTCAAACTCGCATATATATTTTCCCACAATGTGAAATTAGCTGCGCGATGATATTTTTTTTTTTAAATGAAATTTTTCTGATTCAATGTTCAATCTCAATAATTATTTTTCCAATAATTTACTGCGAATACTATAAATGATTTCAATTTTTAAAATTGGCCAATCAGAAATTAACGAGATAATTGTGATTGGTGAATTTTTGAAATTCGCGCCGAAATATTTCTATCGATTGTTTGTTCGGACATTTGCCATTTTAAATAATAATTCTGTCAAATTGAAATTCAATTAAATAAAAATTCTAAAATGAAAATATTTTGTAATATAAATTCTGTTATATAAAAATTCGGTTAAATGAAATTTCTCTGTTAAATAATAAAAATTCGAAGAAATAAACATTCAACTTAAATAAAAAAATTCCAGATAATAAAATTTTGTCAATTAAAAATTGTAAGAAATTAATTTTACAACTTATTAATGCGTTTCAATTTTATTTTATTCGTGCGTCCCATTAAAATGGAAGTTGGTTGAGAGAAAAAAAATTTTTAGACATGGCTGTACCGCGAGTTTGTCAGTAGTTCTCCTGCGGGACCGCCCCAAGTTTCTTTCTGTGGGGAAGGTTAGTGTCCGGATGTGGCAAGCGAAAGTCTTGTCCCCCATTCGAAAAGGCCTAATGGAGTATTTGGGGTAGGTCCTGGTCCTGAATGCAATGCAGGCTGAAAAAGTTTTGTCATTTTTTTTCTCATTTTTTTTTCTTTTTTGTTTTCGTGCGTCAAGGCCTTTTTATGCATTGATATTGTGTGTGTATATATATACGTATATTCAACAAACACGCGTATATACATTTAAGTGACAATGATGAAGGCTACGAAAGGTGAACACTTTAACGACGCGTTTCCCGATTTTTGCGACAAAATTTTCGCCCTCTGAATGTTAACTCTAATTTCGCTTCTCGTCTTTCTTTCATTTTTTTTTGTCACTGAATTTTATAACCGTCACAGAAATGAAAAAAATAAGAATCGAAAAAAATATCTTTCCCATTGAAGAGGATTATGCAATTTTAAAGAAAGGTTTTATTTTTTAATTGAAATAATTAATTATTATCGGCTCATTGACTATAATTATTATTAAAATTTTTATTATTTTATTTTTGTAACGAAATTTGATTAATTAATTATTAATTGAGCGTTCAATTAATTATTATTTATTAAAATTTTTATTAAAATCGCATTATTAAAATTAACAAATTTATTTTCTGTTTTCATAAAAGAAATTTGATTAAGCTTGTGAAATATTTTGAGCGCTCAAATTAGTGTACAATTATTAACTGATTTTTCTATTAATTATAAACAATTACTCCAATAAATAATTATTATAAAAATTAAAGGTTTTTTTTTATAAAAGGAATTTGATTAATCAATTTATAAAATATTTTGATTTTTAAACGTTGAAATAAACAATTTTTCTTTTTTTATATAAATGAATATTATAAAATATTTGTTAATTTTAAAAAACATAAATGTCAAAATCAATAAATATATAAATAATGCTAAATTTTTCAAATAAAATTTTTGAACGATAAAAATAAAATAATAATAATAATAAATTGACAAAGACGTGGACGTAATGATGCAGATGAAAGGAAGAAAATTGACGCGAGTTTGAAATGAAATTACTTTCGCGACTCGATGCTTCGCGAATATTCGATCAGTGTTAAAACGAGTTGTCATAGGATGCGAAAACGGGCAAATCAATAATACAAATGTATATGTATATATATATATATATATACTTGGTTCGTCTCTCATGTGAGGAAGGGAGTGAGGGAGAGAGAGAGAGAGAGAGAGAGAGAGAGAGAGAGAGAGAGAGAGAGAGAGAGAGAGAGAGAGAGAGAGAGAGAGAGAGAGAGAGAGAGTTCGTCGTGCAATGCAAGTGCATGCGGGTAAATTTCGTGGAGCGATAAGCTTTCGGCGAAGCGGACATTCGCTTCGTCGCGCTTGCAATAAGCCGACGATTATGGTTCGATCGACACGAACAAATTATCTTTCTGAAAAATTACATTACTTTTTACCATTACTTTTACGCGAATATAAAAATTTATTTGGACAATTTTCATTCCCCGAAATATAACAAACGCATTTCATTTTTTTTTTTACTGGCGGAAGAGAAAAAGTTTTATGCGCCTATATATACTTATTTGTATTTAAGCTATTTATAAATTTGTAAATTAAAAACAATAATTAAAACGAAAAAGGATATATTTTCAATATTGGAGGGATTCCTTTCATTTTGTGAATTTTTTTTTTGGA